TAGACCAACTTGGTTACTAGCAAGCTTACATGCCTGCTTATGTGTTCCCTTTGAGTTTCAGTCTTGGAGAGGGGTTTGTACTGAAGGGATTTGGTTACTTCCTGGCAAACAACTTGCTTGTTCTTGTAGTAGCTAATCAGACTGCAGTTTTTATTTTTGATTTTTTCTGCTGGTCTCTCTTGTTCTGGTTATTTTGTTTTGTCTCCTCATTTTGAGTTGTGCCCCATCTTCAAATGAAGGTCCTGAAAGCTTCATTCTTCTCATGTCATTATGGTGTACTCTAGTTTGAGGAGGCAGCTTTTCCTAAGTCACATTTTGAGTGTCTTCCAACCTGAGGGGCTCATCTCCTGGCACTATATCTGACAATATTCTGATGCTATTCATAAAAATTTCATCCTCTGGTACTGTTATCAGACAATGATGCACTGCTAATGGTTTGCAGTGCTAACCATTCAGAAGTAGTCTGCCTCTTCTTTTTCCTAGTCTGTCTTAGTCTGGAAGCTCCATTAGAACCTGTCCACCAGAGGTGACACAATTGTTACTTAAAATACTGGTGGCATAGCTTCTAGCATAAAAACAATAGCAAGCCATCACAGTATAAGAAACTGACAGGTGACAGTCTTGGTGGAGGAGGTCAGAGTGCAGGGCCACAGCCAGTGGTTAGGGAGCAAAAATCACCCAGGGATTTATGGAAAAAGAGCTGTGATTTTTTTCCTCCTTCTTTTGCTATTTCTCCTTAAACTCCCATGCCCCGCACTGCCACATCCCCTCTGCCCAGCCCAGGTGTCTTCACACAGGTGGGAGCGCACCCCCAAAAGGGTCCAGCATTGAACACACAGGGCACAATTTTTCCGTAGTGCAAAGCCACTTAAAGTACCAGCTGAAAGACCAGAGGCTAATGCTCCAGCGGGTTCTTATGACATCTGACTGTGAGATTTAGCCTGGAAGTTAGCTTTCCTACTTGGGGGTGGGGGGAAGCTTTTATTCCTGCCCTATCTAACAAGTCTGGCCATACAGCTGAGCTATATTTGCACCCTGTAAAACCTCAACATAAAAGTCAAGAGCCAATACCACCTACTATATACAAGTCCAGTGTGTAAACCCAACACCTATTAAAAACACTAAAGGGAGAAGGACGCTGTGGATATGGAGAGACCTAAAAGTGTTGAAGAGCAGCGATGTCAGCTTGAGGACTAAGGTGCACCTGACCCAAGCCATGGTATTTTCAATAACCTCATATGGATGCGAAAGCTTGACAGTGAATAAGGAAGATTGTAGAAGAATTGATGCCTTTGAGTTTTGGTGTTGGAGGAGAATATTAAAACTGCCAAAAGAACCAATAGATGTGTTTTGGAAGAAGTGCAGCCAGAGTGCTCCTTGGAGGCCAGGATGGCTAAGCTTCGTCTCTCATACTTTGGACATATTGTCAGGAGGGAACAGTAGCTGGAGAAGGATGTCATGCTGAGTAAGGTGGAGGGTCAGAGAAAAAGAGGAAGACCTCCAATGAGATGGATCAGCCAGGTGGCATCATTGATGGCGTCAAGTGTGGCAGCGGTAGTGAGGTTGGCCCAGGATCGGACATTGTTTCGTTCTGCTGTACATGGGGTCACTATGAGTCGGTTCCGACTCGATGGAACCTGACAACAACAACAATAACTGATCATCAGAGAAAAAAGTGTGAATAATCTTTCTTCCATTCATTTTTCATTCTCTGTGCACCTCCACAGTGGTGACTAGAGGGGGTGCCTGTGTGTGTGGACATCCCATCTACCCCTGAAGATTTCCACTGTGCAGGCACACTGATCTACTCAGCAAAGACTACTGGACTAATTTGCTATGGGTTTTTGTTGTTGTTTTTAGTTTTTGCTTTTACATTTGTTTCAGTTTTTTGTCTTCTTGGTCCTACTTTTTTCCTTGGTGTAGGAGCTTTCTCTCCTGACATTACCTAAGAAGAGACAGCAATTGTGGCCATATTGCCAAGCTACAAGCATACCCTATAATATTCCACTATCTGGGCAGAAGCCAGTACCAGGTGCTACATATTACATAGATACCCAACTCTTGCTAAGATTACTCACAGTTGAGTAATAAGAGATGTGAGCAGGGAAGCCTATCTCTGGAACACATCCACAAGGAGGCATTCAGTAAGCTAATAATACAGCAACATACATTCATTTAATCATTGAAAACACATCTAACCTTGGAAAATGTCCAAGAAACAACAAAAGATCTTGGCACATGCCCAGAAAAAGAAAAGAGTAACTGAGACAAATGAGCTGGAGGTAGGCATAGACTTCGCATTAGAAGAAGAGCAGGCTTTGGATCTGCCTGAGAAGGAATTCAGGAAAATGATATTGAGACAAATTCAAATGCTTCACAGAAAGGTAGACGAAAATAAGGAAGAAGTCAGGAAAGTGCTACAGGAGCAATCAAATAAGATAGATATAGCATTAGAAATAATTCATAACCTGCAAAAAGAGGTCCAAATGATTAATAATAAAATATCAGAAATAGGCAATACACTGAAAGGACAAAGGAGCAGAATTGAAGAGATAAAAGCCAGAACCAGTGAGCTAGAAGACAAATCTCTGAATACTGCTAAGATAGAAGAACAAGCAGAACAAAGGATAAAAAATTTGAAGAAAGTCTAAGATTCATGTTGGACAACATGAAGAGGAATAAGTTAAGAATTATTGGTATTCCAGAACAGAAAGAATCACAAAAATCCACAGAGGAGATAGTTGAGGATCTTCTGGAAGAAAATTTCTCTAACATCTTGAAGGATGAAAATATAAGTATTCAAGAAGCTGAATGAACCCCAGGAAGGATAGACCCCCAAAAGAAAATCACCAAGATATATCATAATCAAGCTCTCCAAAATCAAAGACAAGGAGAGAATCCTAAAAGCAGCCAGGGAAAAGAGAAGTGTTACTTTCAAAGGCAAACAAATGAGATTAGCTCTGATCTCTCAGCAGAAACCATGCAGGCAAGAAGGCAATGGGGAGATAAATATAAAGCCTAAAAGTAAAAAAAAAAACAAAACAAAACACAAAACTGTCAATCAAGAATCATCTACCCAGCAAAGTTGTCAATAAAATATGATGGTGCAATCAAAACATTCCAGGATAAACAGAAGCTAAGAGACTTTGTCAAAGCAAATTCAGCACTTTAAAACATCCTAAAAGGATTTCTTTGGGCTGAAAACCAACAAGAACAGACAACAACCGATGACAGACATATGTAGCAACACTACCTGGAACCCAGTCAACAGATAGAAGAGTCCAGACTAGAACAAAATTACAACAATGAATTCAGAGGATCTGGGAGGTCAGCCAAAGAACAAAATAATGACAATGTTAAAGAAGGAGAAAATATAGGAACAGAGATCCAGGTGGTGAGGAGGTCAGGTAGATTGCAGGATAAAATAGACTGTTTCAAATGGAGGAAAAAGTTAGTAGATTATAGGGTAACCTCAAAGAAAAGTAATACTTCACAGCATAATAAGAAAATGAAAAACCAAAAAGAACATTGAAGAAAATGACAAGAAAGAATACAAAAAAACATGAACTCAGGTCAAGAAGGCATGCAAAATAAAGGAGCCAGCAGCACCACAAAACAACTAACATAATGATAGCAATTAAGTCATACCTATTGACGGCACTGAACAACAACAACATTGATAATTACACTGAATGTCAATGGATTTAATGCACCAGTTAAGAGACAGAGAGTGGTAGAATGGATAGGAAAACAGGACCCTTCAATATGCTGCTTGCAAGAGACACACCTTACACACAAAGACAAAAACAGATTAAAAGTTAAAGGATGGAAAAAACATACCAAGCTAATTACAATTTAAAAAAAAAATGAGCATGATTAGCAATACTAATCTCTGATAAAATAAATTTTAAGGCAAAAACCAGCATAAGAGATAAAGAAGGACACTTTCTCATGATTAAAGGGTAAATCAAACAAGATGACATAACCATAATAAACACCTATGCTCCCAATGAAAGAGCCCCAAGATATATAAAATACTGACAGGCAAGTTGTTGATAATCACCTGAGCTCCTTATTATTCACCAAACTGGGGCACCAAGCTGCACCTTGCAAACAGATTCGAGAAGGGTGAGTTTAAGGATTTGGGAACATTCTTTGGAGATACAGTATTTAGCATCATGGCAGAGACCCCAGAATATGTTTGAATTTGCTACTAGGATAGTTTCTAGAAGCATGAAGAAAACTACTGGCCCACCCAAACCAAACCAAGCCCACTGCTGTAGAATAGATTCCTACTCACATCTATAGAGCAGAACTGCCCTGTAGGGTTTCTGAAGCTGTCAATGTTTACAGAGTCAATGTTTACAAAAAGGATGAGACTTCATCCTTCTCTCACAGAGCAAACCTCTGACCTCATGATAAGCAGCTCACCACTTAACCCACTGCACCACCTGGCCTTCTTCAAAAGCTAGTACAGCTAGGATTTACTGAGACCTCTCTGTGGGATGAGGGCTCATTCAGGGGCTTAGGGAGGTTTTAACTGAATTTAGTGGAAGGAGAATGGGCCTTAGAGTCTGGTTCATATTGGGGGTCATGTCGAGCCTCCCTTTGACAAGCCTCATTTGCTCAACAAGGCTATGAAAGACGACTGTTGGGTTGTGAGCAGCCAGTATGGGGTCAGTTGGGCCTGGTGCAGGGCTAGGCCCAGAGTATAACCAGCACACTCATGTCTAGAGACTGTCTAGGTCTTCTGGGAATCGTGCCTCTGTGCTGGTATCCTGGTCTGACCTTGGTCAAGAGGCCTCAGTCTGCTTTGCTGGGCTTGAACTGGCCTCCCTAGAATTGACTCTAATTGCCCAGGTTGAAGGTCTTCCAGAATTGTGCTAAGCTGCACCCCTCACCCAAGCCCCAAGCCCTTGAGGAAGCAGTGTGAGGTCCCTGTTGGAGACCTGATGGCACACCAAGCAGGTGTGTGCATACAAACTGAAGTGAGTACTCACCTGGGAACAGGACGCGGCTGATCATCCCCGGCATCACTATACTGAACATAGGCAGCAGCTTCAGGTACCCGCACAGGATGCAGCCTGCCTTCACATGAGTCAAGTTCTTTGCTGCCAGGCACCGCTGGACAATCATCTTCAGGGAGACACAGGTGGGGCCAGGAGCTTTCTCAGGCCGGCTCTGCCTGCTGCACTGTGGCAGCCACAGGGTGTGCCCTCGGGAGGCCCGATGCCTGTGGGGATGGTGCCTGTGCCGTGCAAACTCAGAAAGCACACTGCCCTTGGCCTCATTGCCAGAACTGCATGGTGGCATGTGACAACCTGTTTCTGGCAGGGAAAAGACTCCCTCCTAGAGGCCATGTTGTTGTTGTTAGGTGCCATCGAGTCGGCACCGACCCATAGCGACACTATGCACAGCACAACGAAACACCGCTCAATCCTGGGCCATAGATGGTGGCAAAAACCAGAGGGCGCTTGCAAAATCATAAAGAGCACTACTCTGTCCTGTTTTTGTTGTTGTTAAGTACCATTGAGTCGATTCCAACACATAGCGACCCTGTATAGGGTTTCCGAGGAGCAGCTGGTGAGCTTGAACTGCCAACCTTGCAGTTCAAATGGCTTTGCAGCGTGGTGCATTAACCCACAGTGCCACACCAGGACTCTGTCCTACAGGGTAACTATAAATTGGAATCAGCTATAGATGGTAAGCCTAAAAACCCACTGCTATCAAATTGATTCTAACTTAGAGCAGCCCTACATAGGGTTTCTAAGACTCATGGCCACTCGTTATAGGGTTTCTGAGACTACATCTTTAGGGGAGCAGACAGCCTCATCTTACTCCCAGTGAACAACTGGTGGGTTTTTCCTCCTGTCCTTTCAATTAGCAGCTCAACACCAGAAGTGGTCCCTGGGCAACAAGGGAATACTCAGCTCTGGGACCAACTCTATTCATCTTCATGGAAAGGAAGTATTATAAGCCTCTTATATGCAAAACTCTTCTAACAGACCTGTCCTGATCCACTTCCAGGTGCAACTGCTATCATATAGGATATGACCTCATGCCTCGACAGAATGGCCCAGCAGGAAGGGAGTTGTATGGCACTTCAGAAAGAACATAGGCTCAGGTCAGTGCTTCAGAACAGTACAATCTGTGTATGCACTAAAAACTGTGTTCTAGGAGAACATCTAAATAATGTGCATAAACTCTCCCAGTGTGTTGTCAGCATAAAGGTGTAAAGCAAAAACTAAACCCACTGCCATCAAAGGGACTCTATAGGATAGAGTAGACTGCTCCATAAGGTTTCTGAGATTGCGACTTTATGAAAGTAGATGATCTCATCTTTCTCCTAAGAAGCAGCTGTAGGGTTCAAATAGCTGACCTTTCTATTAGCAGCCCCAAGCTTAACCCATGTACCACTAGAGCTCCATCTAGTCCATAAAATCCACTGTCATTGACTCAATTCTGACTCATAGTTACCCTATAGGACAAAGTAGAATTGCTCCTTAGTTTCTGGCTGTTAATCTTTTTGGAAAAGAGCTCTGGTAGCGTAGTGGTTACAAGTCGGGATGCTAATCTCAAGGTCAGCAGTTTGAAACTGCCAGCTGTTCCATCAGAGAAAGATGAGGCTTTCTGTTTCCATAAAGATTTACAGCCTCAGAAACCCTATACAGGGTCACTATGAGTTGGAACCAGCTCCACTACCACCGATCTTTATGGAAGCAGACTGCCTCATCTTTATCCCATGGAGCAACTAGTGGGTTTGAACTGCTAACCTGGCAGTTAGCAGCACAGCACTATCAACACCATGCATGATTCCGTGTCTAGAAAAAAGTCAAAATGAATGAACCAACATAGTAGTAAGAATGGTTAAGCCCAGGGTGGCAGGGTCCATGTAGGGTTTTCATTTTATTTTTCAGATTTGGTTTGCCAAATGTATTCTTTGGTTATGATCTCTGGTGGTACAGTGGGTTCAAAGTTTGGGCTGCTAACTGAAAGGTTGGCGGTTCAAACTCACCAGCCCCATGTATGCCAGAGTAGAAGTTAATGTATCAGATGGATTTGTGGGAGAAATCTCCTTTTAAAACTAGAATTTCTTACAAAGCTATAAAAGTAGGCTTGCCATAAGTAAATACATATCAGACAGGATGCCTGACAAGTGAGCAACACTTGCAGAGGGACACCCCTACATACCTGATTGGTGCACCAGGAACATAGGGAGAGGATGGAGAGGCCAAATACAATTCCAGGCCAGGGAAGATCTCCATGGATGGGATGTCGGAAGATGTGGAAAGAATCAGGACGCGGGGTGTAGCATTCTGGCTTGGCAGTCCAGTTTCCTTCGCTGACAATACTTGGGATGGCATTCATGTAGTTCACCCAGAGGCCCTGGTATCCTCCCACTTCCTTAAAGGCTTAAAGAGCATAAAACTGGTCAGTGCTGGGCAGAGAACAATACATATATCTAAAGGGCCAACATTGCAAAGATCCAGTTTGACTGAATAGATGGGAGGTAGGAGGTGTGGCTATAAAAGATGGTGGCCAATGGAGTGACTAATAGTCACCCTAGGTGCTCAAGGAAAGACCGACTCTTCCAAAGAGCCAGACCTATCAGTGGATGTTGTGGTGGCTGTATGCCCAGCACCCTTCTCCTCCTGCATTGGTGAGGTGGACCTAGTTAACCCCTCCTGCATTGGTGAGGTGGACCTAGTTAACCCCTCTGTTCCCATCTAACAGGTGACTTTGGTCTGATCAGCATTCCTATCTCCTGGAAAATAAATGAAGTGTCACAGGGATGGACGGGAGACCCTAGTGGGTATCATGAGAATCTTCCTGGGTACTCTTCTGCTGAAGGAACCAATAATAAAGGCTGGTACCATTTCTTTGAGGTTCTGAGCTAGTATGCCAGTTTGAAGCTATTTTCTCTCCCTGGTTCATTAGGAATCCTACATCCAGCCATGACTGAAAACAGTATGTTATTGGTGTGTTAAGTGCCATCTAGTCAGTTCTGACTCATAGTGACCCTGTATAGGTTTTCCTAGGCTGTAAATCTTTTCTGGAGCAAAAAGCCTCAACTTTCTCCTGTAGAGCAGCTGGTACAATTGAGCCACTCAATTTGTGGTTCACAGTCCAGTGCTTATCCTACAGATAGTAAGAGGGGACTTCACAAAAATTTGTGGGGAAAATGGGACTAAAAGATAATGGACTGTCCCCATGAATTTCTTGAAACCCCCTCAATATACGCCTGGACTCGGTAGTTGTTTAGTGCTGGCAAATTGGTTCCAACTCCTAGCAACCCTGTATAGGGGTTCTGAAGAGTGGTTGGTGAGTTTGAACCACTGACCTTGTGGTTCAAAATGACCACGAGGTTGAGTGCTTATCCTATGATGCCAGACCAGGACTGTTCAGTTGTGTGAGCAAAAAAAGTTATTTGCTGACTCTAGTTTTGAATTAACATGTGTCACAAGTTATTTAAATACCATAACATAGAAATGTATACTGCTCTTCCAGCAATGCTAGCAAAAGTTTTATGAACTTTCCATTTTCTTTCGAACTGTGGCATTCTTCTTCTCAATATCCAAAGTGGTTGACATTCTTAACATTAAAGAAAGACAGCTTTTTAAAAAAGGCACTAAAACACCCATTATTGTGGTTGTTAAGTGCCATCGAGTCAGTTATGATTCATAGAGGCCCTGTATAGCGTTTCTGAGGAGTGGCTAGTGAGTTTGAACTGTAGACCTTGTTCAAATTGACCTTGTGGTCCAGTGCATTAAGCACCACACCTGGACCCACATTTTATCAATGATTTAATTTAAAAAAAAAATTTAAAAAATTAGTCAGTCACAAAAAGACAAATATTGTATAAGAACATTATTGCAAAAGTTTAAGAAAAGATACCCATACTAAAAGACAAAAAAAAACTTCTTTGAGGGTTACCCGGGGTGGGAAGGAGGGGACGGTAGAGCACAGGTTAGGGAATAGTCACATCATAGCTTAGGTGTTGGCAAAGGCCATATACAAGGAAAGGGAGGGCAATACACAAGGGGATGGGGGTGCAAGAACCAGGTAGATAGGGGAACACTTAGGTAGGTTTGCATGGGCTAAACAGGACAGAGGTAAACAGTGATGTATGCTCAACCTTGGAACAACAGGGCTCTGTGCTACAGGGATCGAGGCATAGTGTGAAAGGGTAAATGAGGGTAAACAATGCTAAGATGCTTGGCTGTCTTAGTTTCCTTTGCCTACTATTGTAAAACAGACACTTGAGTGGAATAGAAAGGAATCTCAGGAAACATGATTACAGAAAGCTAGTAAACCCATCTTCAGCCTATAACTGATTGGAATACCTAAAAGGGGTCTAGAACTTGTCCAGTGAAATAGTTTTTGTAGTGTATAGGACCTTAGGTGGAATCTTGAGCCCCATCAAGAACCCTCTGAGGTGGGACAGTCTCATTTCAAGGGACATGCAGACCAGCCTGGAGCAGCTAAAGGAACAAAAGATACTTCTTGAAAGAAAGACCAGCAGGAGGAAACAAAAACAAGAATGGCAGTCTAGCTTTTACAAGAACAAGCAAGCTGTTTGCTTGGGAGCCAGCAAAGCAAGCAATCAAATCCCTTCAGGACAAACCCATCTCCAAGACTGAAACTCAAAGGGAACACATGAGCAGGTATGTAAGCTTGCTGGTGACTGCGCTGGCCTACATGTGAGTGGAAGTGGGGGAAAGGCAGTAATGAAGACATGGGCGCTGAGTTCAACCATGTTCCTTAGACTCCTGTTAACCTTGACATGAGAGAGAGAAGAGGAAGGGCTGGTTGATCCAAAGTCTGGGGAGATTTGGAAACTCCTGAGCCCATGAACACTGACCTAGTCACAGAGGGCTATAGCTGAGAGTGAAGCTTCCAG